CCAACTTGATAGGTATTTTTATTCCTCTTTTGTTTTTTACTATATCTGTATGTTTCACTCCTTGAATTTCTCTTACTGATAAATCCTCTTAAACTGACCAAAGCATTTCAGAGGGAGTCTTTGTTTCTTAAACCGTCACAGTGTGCTCTACCGTGCAGATCTACCATAACTTCCTTAACTCTCCCCTCCAAAATGATGGCTATTTGGGTGGCTTCTGATCTTTTGATATCACAAACAAGGCTGAAATGAATCATCGAGCATAGCTGCTTTTTCAAGACTGCACACATCTATCTAGGACAAATTCCCAGGAGTGGAGTATGTGGGGCCAAATAAAAATACTAATTACAAAATTATATGCAGCACTTACTGTGACTCAGGCTGTAATCTAAGCCTGCTCTGTACACCATTTGATAGTCTTAACAACCCTACGAGGAAAATGCTGTTATTATCTCCTCTATAGACCAGAAAGCTGTGTGGCACAAAGAGGTTTAATAGCTCGCACAAGGTCACACAGCTAGCACAGGGCAGAGCCAAGCAACTGTGACTGCATTTAGACATTATGTTCTGGTTTCTCTGGCAGGGTAATTGTATTTTACAGAGACATAAATTGGCCTTTATTCTGGTTATGCTGATTTCTTCTCTTCCTGGCATTACTGTACATTTTCATCAACAGGTGAAAATATGGATTAATTATAGGTGGAAATGAATCTCAATGTAGTATTAATTTGCTCTTCTCTTATAGGGACAGATCTGAGTATGTTCACAAGTGCTCAGGAGTCACGTGTGTTAACGTCTCTGGGACTTGCCCATCCTGAAACTTTTTTGTACGTTCCTCCAGTGATTTCGGCCTCCCTCTTATTGACAAGGAGGAGGATGTCTTTACCTATCAGATACAGAGTTTCACCTGTGGTAGGAATCAGGGATACTTTCTCCTAGTTTGTTTCTCATATTTTCACGTTGTTTATAGTTTTCTCTGATAGATGTTTTTAATACACACACAGCCAAATTACTAATCTCTTATGTAATCTAGATTTTTAAATATTTCGGAGTCTTAAGAGGATCTGCATATGTTTTTTTCTAGTGTTTTGATGGTTTAATTTTAATAATTAAACATTTGACCTATTTGGAATTTATTTTGTATGATGGGTGTATTAATCCAGTGTACTGTTTCCCTTGAGCTGCCTCAGGCTGCTCTTTTGAATAGTGCAGCATTTCTTATTGTAGCACACAAAACATCACATACAATTAGGTTCGATTTCTAGACTTCTCATTCTGTTGTGTTCAGTTTTTCTGTCTATGTATGTATTAAATATTATCCTATTATTTGAAGCCTTGAAATATATTATAACATCCAGTAGGGCTGAATTTCACCCTCTGCTCATGCGTGTGTTGTGCATGTGGGTGTGTGTACCAGAACATAACTTAAGAGTGTCAGAGGCCTGGAACCAGACCAATGACTCACTGCAATGAACACTTACAAGTAAAGATGTGTGGACCAAAGGGTATGCTGTGTGACTCCTGGGTCACACTACAGCTTCCATGCCTAGATTTTTCTTATTTGTTTTTTGTTTGTTTGTTTATTTGGTTGGTTGGTTGAATTTTCTTTTTTGTTTGTTTGTTTGTTTGACTTTTAAATTTTGTTTTTTTGTGGGGAGGTTGCAAGGGCAGAGGGTGGAGCGAGGGAATGGGGAGATGAATGGGATCGGGGTTCATGATATGAAATCCACAACGAATCAATAAAAAGTAAAAAAAAACAAGTGTTTTTCTGTGTTATTCTCCTTGTTATTGCCTTGAGACGGGGTCTCTCCTTGAACCAGAGCTTGCTGTCTTGTCTAATCTGGTTGGTCTTCAGTGAGCTCCTGGGAGCTGTCTGTTCTTACTGTTCCACATGCTGGGGTCACAGGGACAAATAGCCATGCCAGGCTTTTTATAGGGGTCTTGGGGATTTGAACTCAGGTCCTCAAGCTAGCTAGGCATATACTCTTACCACTGAGCCATTTCCCTCTTTCCATACCCAGCATTAACTCTTATTTTCCACAGCTTTCTTTATTATGATCACTTATTATAAACTTAGTAATCAGTTTTTTTTGTTGTTGTTTCTGAGACAGGGTTTCTCTGTGTAGTTTTGGTGCCTGTCCTGAATCTCGCTCTGTAGACCAGGCTGGCCTCAAACTCACAGAGATCTGCCTGACTCTACCTCCCAAGTGCTGGGATTAAAGGCGTGTGCCACCGCCACCCGGCAGTAATTAGCTTTTTAACTTTTATTAAAAATACAATCACCCAACCAAACAGGATCAGAAGTTCAAGACTGTCTTCAGCTACCTAGAGTTCAGGACAGAACGGGCTATACTACACTGTGTCCCAAAAACCAAAACTAGACAAAAAAAAAAAAAAAAGACAAACAAAGAAAATCAACCACGTATCAGTGGAAGAAACTGTCACATGCTTATATTTAACAGTTAGAAAGAACACACAAATTTTTGTATTACTGAATATATTCAATAAAACAAATGACAGATATCATTATGACACTGCTATATTAAACACCTCTCTACTCTTTAAAAAGAGTAAGAAGGAAAACATCCATCTTGGATTTTTTTAGCATTAAGATATTTGAACTCACAGCAAGGATGGACAAGCAACATCTCCTTCAAACAGCAAGTCAAGAGCTCAGAGACAGAAAATCTATGAATTCAAGGTTTCCTCTGTGACAAAGCAAAAAGGAAGACCAGGCTCTGAGAACGTCGACAGCCAAACCCTGTGACTGATTGCCACGAGGACTTGTAACCACTACCGAAATCAGCAGCTAAGGAGTCAGCCACAGAGTTCATGGTAAATCTTTTTTCCTCTTGTACTGGGAGTAGAATTCTTTCTTTTGGCCTCGCCATTGCCTGTTCCACGACGAGCTTGTCTAAGAACACTTTAGAACGTAGCGGTTAGAGCAGGATGCAGTCCTAGCGCTCCAGAGGCTGAGGCAGGATGTGTGCCGTGAGGCGGAGATGGCCTCCAGTTTGAGGCCAGCCAGGAGCAGCCTGAGCTACAGAGCAAGACACCGACTCAAAACAGAAAACAGTCCGGCAATGACAAGTCTTATCCGAGGCTGGGAGAGATGACCAGCACTAGACATTTTCACTCTTGAATTCATTTGGATGTTTAAGTCAGCAGTCAAGTGAAACTTGAAATTTCACTTCTTAAGTTTTTTTTTTTTTTTTTTTTTTTTAAAGATTTATTTATTATGTATACAGCATGTATGCCTGCAGGTCAGAAGAGGGCGCCAGATCTCATTACAGATGGTTGTGAGCCACCATGTGGTTGCTGGGAATTGAACTCAAGACCTCTGGAAGAGCAGTCAGTGCTCTTAACCGCTGAGCTATCTCTCCAGCCCAACACTTCTTAAGTTTTATGAAACAAAAAGTATGTTTACATTTCAAACAGTCAAAAAATGTTGAGTTAAATGTTCTGTACCCATTCCTGTGTTTTATTGCTAGCTATAAAGGCAAAGATGTCACATATTCCTAATTCTTGAAAGGGACTTCACCTTCATAGGTGATGAATTCCAAGCTGTTCTCCACTAGGGGTATTGGATTTATGATCAGCCAAGCTCTTTACTTGAGTCTACAGGATATATGGCACATTCACTAGGAGGTGAGCTGAAGGGGTCCTTATTTGTGTCCAGGAAATAAAGCTATATTGTAACGGTATTTTTCTTCTTCTTGTGTGTGTGAATGTGTATGTGCATGTATATGTGTATGTGGTGTGTGAAGGTGTTTGTGAGTGTGTGTTTCAGACAAGGTCTTGTTACATAGTCCAGGCTAGCCTCATACTTGTCATCCTCCAGCCTCAGGGTTTTGAGTGATGAGACTACAAGTGTGCACCTCTGTGCCTGGCTCCCCACAGGCCCGTCATTCGGAAAATAACTTCTCCTCAAAATGACCAGATGAGGCAAAGAGGGCATTCATTATCTTTCTCATTTTACTTATGCAGAGTCCAAGCTACAATCATTTCATACTGCTTGTACAGGACAGTGAGGGGGCAGTGCAGTGATTATCAGTGGGGACTGGTAAGATATAGAGTCATTTCAATAACTAAAAGGAAAAATCTTCTATGCTGTGCTCTGCTTCACAACACCCCCCTTCCCCCCCCCCATACACACACAACCCTAGCTCAGGACCCAGCACCCAGCACCTACACAGAATCTGGGTGTAGAATCATTTCTTATGCGAGCTGTGGTTCTTAGGGTGAATGCGTCACGTTACTGCTTCCAATGTGCTGGGTTGCTTTGCAAGGTTGCAACCAATGTTAAGGTGAGAACAAAGACAGGCAACGCAGGGAATTAAGGGCTCAGCCCTGCACTCCATCTATTGGAACACACAGGAGGAATACATTCCAAGGCACACACGTGGGGTGCAGACACACATGCAGGCAAAACACTCATATACATAAAATAAACATTTAGAAACCTTCATGGGTCTTTGAATGGAGGCATTTTAGAGAGAGTAACTGATGGTAGCAGTTACAGCACTGTAAACCACAGGCGTGTTTCAGTTTGCCCTTAAGGACTTAGAGGGTTCTAACGTTCATTCTACAAGAAGCCGCTGGGCTAGCAAGGTGGCGCAGCTGGTAAAGGCACTTACCGCCAAGCCTGGTGACCTGAGGTGGATCCTCAGGATCCGCAAGGTAGGAGAAAAGACGTGATTCCCACAAGCTGACCTCACTCACAACCACATGCATACACACACATACACACACACACACACACACACACACACACACACACACACAAAGGAAAAAAGGAGGAAGAACAAGAACAGGAGGAAAGAGGAGTGGGGAAGTGGAGGCAGCAGCAGGGGACAGTATGCACCAGTACGGAAGCATTTGCTCTACCCAGGCAAGTGGTTACTATGGCATCATCACCCAGAAGGAAGAGACATCCAAGCCATTTCAAACAAAGGCAAATCCCAGGGCAACTCAGAAGGGATGCTCAAGCAGCGGCTACGCACCTGTTCGAGGTGAGTCTCTCCTCTTTTTTTATTGTGAAGTTGAAGGTAAGAGTCTGTTTTAGGAGCAGGTAATCCCAGAGTCAGCTTGTTTTTTTCCACAAAATATTGTTTGGACTTCCTTCTCCGGGGCCCCCGTGATCCTGGCAGGAACACTTCGTTGTGTGAACTTGAGCTCTTCAGGTACTGAGAGAGGTTGCTGGACTTCTCCTGGTCACTGTCGCTTAGTTCTGAAAAGGACTCGTTTTGGCGGGTGCCACGCTCATAGTTTGGGCTTAGGAACTCACTTCCAAGCAAGGAGGCTTCACTCTGAGGACTCCTCTTCTCTTGGCCTTTCCCTGCTGAGAGTCCCATTGACGGCTCCCTGGAAGGGTAGAGTGGAGCCAGAGGCAGGCTTTCTGAAGAGCTATGGGCAGACCCAGGCAATGGCGGCTCCTCCTCTTTCTTATTCTTCCAGTTGGGATCATATCGGAGGTCTGAATATTTGTCGTCTACATGATGATGGCTGTCCAAAGCAGAAAAGAAATGAGAAGTCCTTAATTAAGGTAAATCCCCAGGGGTTTTCCCTAAGGGGACAGTCCCCAACTGAGACAGACCCACTAAAAAGTTCACACACACACACACAAATAATAATAAAATAAACTCACTCTATTCACTTCATTGTTTTATTCAAACTCAATCTCGGATTCTGTCCTCTGTTTTCCCTTTCACTATCTAGATGGTGAAGGTGTGTCAAAGACTCAAATTAGAACCACAGAGAAGTTCATTGAAATCTCTAGTAAAAATGGACACCAACTAAATTCTAAAAGCCAGAAAAACCGGCGAAAATGAAACGTCCGCAGCGTTAAACCAGCATGTCTCTATGGTTCGAAGAGTCCTATTACTTACGCATACCAACGATGATCCCGTGTGTCTCCTGCTGAAGATAAAAGTACAGTTCACACAGGCCGGCGGGGCTCGTAGCTCAGTTGACAGAGTGCTTGCCGAACATTCTAGCCCCAGCAGTAGGCATGGTGGTGCGCCCTTGGGTCCCAGCACTAGGGAGGTGGTGGGAGACTCAGAAGTTCAAGGTCGTCCTTGACTAAAAGGCACACTGAAGGTCAACCCTGGCTACATGAAACCCTGTCTCAAAAAGGAAGGAAGAGAGAGGGGCCGGGGAAGGAAAAGAAAGAAGGGGAAAACATAGCAATTCATGCCTTAGCTGGTTATAGGCATATTTGGTTATTTCTTTCTAGGAAGGGAAGTACCTCTCCTCTCGGGATGAAAGCCAGGTTTTTTAATCCCAATTGAATATCTACACAGTCTCACCTTTCTTTTCAAGAAGTTTGGTTTTCCCTTTTTCTTACCCATAGAGTTTTATCAAATGTTCCACAGAAAACCCCACAAGGCTTAGACTCAGAGTGTGGCTCACAGTGTCTTGGTTGTCAGGGCCATGCTCAGGAGCCTCAGGGGACAGGTCAGCATGAGCCTCAAGTTCTAGGACAATCTCACTTAACTAAGGTTAAGCACATGGTCCTGTCTGAGGGAAGTTAACTAGACCCCAAATAAAGTCCTCCCTCCTGCCCGAGACAGTCTCAATTTGTAAAGTAGCCCTCTAATCTTAACCGAAAAAGAAAAAAAAATGAAGAAAGCTGGTAATATGGCATATTTAATGGCCTCTTTGATCTTCAGAAGCTAAATGGGAGAGATTTTTTCCTTGCTGAGGACAGTGGATGCAATCCTCTAATCAAAAAGAAAATGTAAATCACCCAGCTTTTTATGCTATTTGATATTCCCGTTTACAGAGGACATAATTTTATGCTGGGTAAACAAACTAATGGTCTCTATAATGCTAATTTACTCATCTTAATGTGGACCTAGATTTCTTTGATTCAACGTAAAGCAAAAACTGGACAAGGAGACTCGTCGGCTTTACTAAATTGTCACTGCGAGTTTTCCAGCTGTCCTAAGAAGGTGGAAAACCTCGGGATGCAGGCAGCTTTTCCTTTTCCTAGACGGGCTCTTCCCCAGCAAAACTCCAGAGGGAGAATGATCCATCTGTCAGCAAATGAGACTTCACTGTTTCACCCACAACGACACCACAAGGTGGCCCGTCTTCAGGGCCGTGATGGGTAGGTCCCTCCTGTGGGTTGTCTGTCCTACAAACTTCCGTATTGGACACTGGGCCTTTCACCCTTCATTTTCAAGGTAGTTTGTCTCAAACGGGGCTGTGGAATTTCTTCCACTTCTCACAGCTGACTGAAGTTCGGCTGGAAGCTGTGTGTCTTAGAGTGCTCTGTGCTCCGCACACGTGCTCATTAACGTGTCACTATGATGCTGTTCTTGCCTAACTCAGGTCCTGGGCAGCAGGGACTTCGGTATGCCTTCCTGCCCAAATCTCTGCCTTAGTACAGGGCAGTGCTCTCGGGCATACAAGTTAAATGCTTCTAGAATAAATAACTGGATCTCCATAAATATTCCGACACAATTACAGCAGTTGATATTTATTTTAAAAGCTAGCAACATAATTAAAATCTGAACATGAAGACGCTTCTTGCACTGGGACAAATTAGTGGATGATTTTTAGGGTTTATCTTCTACTAAGGGACCTAAGGTTCAATGGCAGTTGTTTACATGGAGAAGAAAGCTCAATTATTATCTTCAAGCAAATCCGACTTCAAACAAACAAACAAAAGCTGTATTCCCGTATCCGTGGTTTTACTGGAAGGAAAAACTCAGCTTTATTCTTTTATTCATTAGTTCACTCTCTGGTTTGACAAGTGTTTCCTGAGCACTTTCTAAGCTGGGGAGATACAGTGGTTAGGTAGCACAATGTTGGGGAAACAAAGAAACCCAACAATTAACACTTTGGAGTGATGCCTGCTCTGGTGGGGACCACAGGGCCACCTGGACTCAGGAGGGACCTTGCTTGCTTCTCAGGAGGTTGGGAAGAGCTTTGGGTAGGAAGTCATGGCCTCGACCTAAGGCTGAGGAAATGTGCACCAGGCTGAGAGAACAGCAGGAAAGAGGAGTGGAGGGGAGAGCAGCCTTGCTTCTCAAGACCAGAGGCTTTGTGGGTAAGGGGAGGCGGAGAGGAGGAAGGCTGGGGTTCAGAGCTCAAGGTTCACCAGAGGTCAGATTTGCAAGGACCTCAGAACTCTGGAAGAGTTTGGGCTTAGCTAAATTATCTGAGTGTTTAATTATAGAGAGACTGGTAATCAATTAAGGACAGTCAAAGGGATGAGCTTCAGGTCAGCCTTACACACACATTATTTTGAAGACATTTAGAACGGTCTCCTTGGTGATCAGATGAGGCTTCACTGGGCTGGAGGGATGAGTCAGTGGCTAAGAGCACTTGTTGCTCTTACAGAAGACCTGGTGTTCGGTTCCCAGGACCCACATGATGGCTCATAACCACCAGTAACTCCAGTTCCAGGGGATCCATATTCAATTGCTCAATACTATCTCAAAACCCACTCCAACCTTGTCATCTTGTGAGCCTAAGATAACTCACTTACTGGTATAGCTGGTTTTTTTTTTTTTAAGGTAATTGCTATAGTTAAGATTTTAAATGCCCCAGAGAGGCCCATGTGTTGAAGGTTTGTTCTCCAGCTTGTGACAGCACTAAGAAGTGGTTGAACCTTTAGGAGACGGGGCCTCATGGGAAAACTAAGTCACTGGAGCCACACCCTTTGGGCTGCTGGAACTAAGAACGGTTCTCCGTTTCTTGGGCTCCAGGGGGTGAACAGATCTCCTCTCACAGGAGCTCCTGCCTCGATATTGGCACAGGCCTCAAGAAACAGGGTCGAATGCCGTGGAAGAGTGGGCCTCCTTTTAAGGAGTCTGTTTCTAGCATCTCATCACAATCATGGAAAGATGACACAAGGGCCTTCGATGTTTGAAGGGAAGGTATTCCCCTCTTTTTACACTGGTGTTCACATCGGAAACACTAGAGCCTCACTCCGACTGCTCACAGCACTGAACCAGCATCAAACAGTGACAGCCACCTACATGCGCACGGTGCCTTCTTTCTCTGCGCAACGACATGGAGTTTTCTGGCTCGGGGAGACGCCCCAGGGGCGTGCGCAAGGACAGCAGCTCTAAGACAGAACTGCCTGCCCTCAACTTCTGGTGCCACTGAATACTCTGTGAATGACTCTTTAACTCTGGTGCTTGGCACAGAGTAAGGGCGGAGTAGACAGTAGCCCAGAGAACACCACAAGGAGCTCTGTCGCCAGGCTTTGCTCACTGCCAACTGCACTGGGTCTCCAGGACGTAACACAGTTGTTGTGTATGATGCTTCCTCCTGATGGAGCTCAAGGGATCCTTCTCCCTCCAGGGCTTAAGATATTTTAAGAGCTTGAGGCTCTGAATGGTGCCCTAGTGGCCTGAAAGATATAACACACATTAAAAAAAAAAAATCCAATTTTTAGTCACAACTTAGGTTCTGTGGGAAATGTTTGAACCATAATTTAGGAAAAGGGATTAAGAAATATCAGTGAATCCACATGATGAACTATTTTAACAACCACTAAAACTTGATAAGAGAGATATAAGTAAGAAAATTAAATTGTTTCGTACCTTTCAGAGAACCAGTAACTTCGAGGCCCTGACAGATTGCCTTTCTTTAAGAAATGGCAGCTTGGAAGATCATCACGCCTACAGAGCTCCATATTTTTAGCAGAAACTAGACAATATGAAAGGGGCTGGGAGTAAACAAGAAGAGATGGGCTGCCGAGAAACATGTTTCTGAACCAATTGTCAGAAGGGAGGCATGTATTATACAGAAATAAAACCCAAACTACCATGGTTCAAAAGAAAGCTTTAACAACTCAGGGCCATCTACACCGGCAATGGCTGTCTCCAAACACCCCCTTCACCGTTTCAAATGGAAGGCATGTTGAAACTAATGGGAGGCTTTTTTTTTTTTTCAAAATCATGTGCATGAAAAACTGTAATGCTTCCCAGAAATAAATCGAATTGTTGAAACAGAACATGATACTAAAGGAGCCCATTGTATGGAGCTCGTGTGGTAAGAAGCCCAATTGTGTTTTGCAGTCTGGGTCAACACACAGGGACAAAATGAGTGTGAAGTGCTCTTTCACGGGCAATCATCTGCACACAAAACATGCACCTCTTCCCCTCCTCATCCGACAGGAAGGTCACACAGACAATGAGAACACAACTCTTTTGTTACCCTTCAGACAACAGATGTCGGGGCTCCTCTTCAGAGGCTTGGGTTAGAAACGGATGCAGAGAGGCGAGGGAGTGGGGAGGGGCATCTCATGTGTGTTCAGTGGGGTCTTTGCTGCCTTTAATGGACCCTGTTTGAGTCCGTGCTGTGATAACTTCAAACAAAATAAAATCAAATCTCCATTTAATGAAGAGCCTCATACTCAGTTTGTATTCAATCAAAAAATTACTAAAATTAGAGCATGTTTCTAGTTCAATTAACATCCTTTGCACTCACAATAAAATATTCAATAACTGGCCATTTTGCCTGTTGAGGAGCGGAATAAAAGCGAA